AAGTAAAAATTAAGAGGGGGTGCTAGTGCGAAATAGAGAGTGTGAGACGTTACAGAGTGAGACCAGTTTTAGAGAGAGATTGAAATATCTAGGTTCAGCAAGTACACGCAATACTGGCGGCTTATGCATAATGTATACAGTTCTCGCTGGCAGTGTTGTTGTTGATGCTGGAGTTCTGGAGTTCTGGAGTTCTGGGTGAGCTCATTTTGTGTGCGTGCCTTTGGAAGGGTGGGGGTGGGGGGTGGGGTGGGGGTTGGGGGGAGGGACTCAAGACTAGTTGCGTGCCTGGGCTATTATTATTATTCTGGGAGTTATAAACTCTCTGTGTGGATTCATAATTGAGCGACTGTTTCTCATCGTGACTGTTCCCAGCCTGACCGCTCTTGCAAGCATTAGTTTTTCAGGTTGGTGGTTTTTTTTGTGGTGCCTACGACACTTCCACCATATTCAGTAACTGCAGTTTCTTGGGCGTTAGTGGTAATAACTTGAAGGGAAAGACGAAACACGTTCTTTGAAATTTGATGAAAATATATATTCGATAAAAAAAATAAAATAAATCAAAGACAAAAAATCCGCCATGTTCAGTAAATGCAGTTTCTTGGCCGCTCGTGTTAATAACTTGAAAAGTAAGTCGAAAAATGCTTTGAAATTTTATGTTAATATATTCGGTTTTAGAAATAAAACAAAGACGTAACATATGCCATATTCAGTAACTGCGGTTGTTTTGGGGGTGTTTTAGTAACTTGAGAAGTGAGGCGAAAAATGCTTTGAAATTTGATATAAATATATTCGGTTCCAGAAAACCCCCCAATTTTCACAACAACTTTTGTTGCTCTTTCATTTTGGCGAGAGCAAGAGAAATTAGATGTCGTAAATTAGTGGAAAAAATAGAGTATTTCCTTCAATAATCCAGTGAAGCTATAAAACAAGGAAACAAAATGAGCGTGGTTCGGAAATTAAATCTTTAGAAAGTGTATCTGAAAGTGGAAAACGTCGAAAAAAAAAATTTAACTGAGATTTTGTAAACGACCCCGGTCCTTTTGGAGAACGTCTGAAAAGACAGAGTTAAATAAGGAGTAAAGATTTCCCTGAGTAAACTTGTCAGCCGAATGTCTCTGCCTTAGTAAGGAGGAAATCCACACATGAATGGACTCCCGGAAGCATTAATAGTGGCAGGCAAAAAAAATAAAAAAATAAAAAAATACAATGACACAGTATTGAGCGATTTTTGGGGGTGTTTTTAGAAGCATGTTTAATTTAACAAACCTCCCCTCCTCCACTCCCCACATCAAAACAAAACAAAGCAAAATGCAAAAAACAATAACAATAATAACAACAGCAACAACAACAACGAAACAGAACCCGCCTCCAGAAAACAAAACAAAAATCGAACATAACAAAAACAACAACAACAAAATAACCAACAACCCCAATACGCCCCCCCCCCCCACACCCACACACACGCAACGACAAAAACATCATAGATGTTGATAAGTAGCTTTCTTCCCCTTTGTATCTGGTGATTTCTCCACAAATAAAGGCCAAGCTCAGACCCCGATGAGGTCGCGGATCGGCCAAGAAATTGGGTCTAGTGTTTATTAAGCTGATGAACATCCGGGGAAGCGTTGAGTTAGCTCAACAATGCTAATTGGAGGCACACACACAGTCGGTGACATGCACGAGAGGTAAATCGATGCCATGGTGAATAATCAGCTAACAAGGATCACACGGTGGGGTCAACGTTCTATTTCCTGTGATCAGATCATGGGCTGCGAACTCTCATCTATAAAGAATAAGTACAAAGAAAAGCAAAGTGGTGTGTGCGTGGAGAAAGAGCGAGAAAGAGAGAGAGAGAGAGAGAGAGAGAGAGAGAGAGAGAGAGAGAGAGAGAGAGAGAGAGAGAGAGAGAGAGAGAGAGAGAGAGAGAGAGAGAGCTGACTCGTGTGAAATAATTACACTTTGGGTGGGTTCTTGGATTTCTGTAGATGATCAAAACATTTGAAATAAACAAAGACACATCGCTACCTGAAAATTAAGAAGTTTTATCTGCCATTTTCTGGCCATTTAAAGTTACTTAGACCACGAGATCAGAAAGTAAATGCTCTAGCTGCTCTAGCAAAATAGTAAAAGTATTCGGAGTCATTATCAAGATATTCAAAGAATTTCATCAAAGAGTCTACATAACAAGAGGGGCCACTTCTCTCTTTGAGCCAATTAAAAAAGTGTCCTCAAAATTCGGTGGCGCCCTCTTCACAAAAGCGCACCTTTTGCGAACAGTTACCCTACTTGAGTTTAAAAAATCAAAGTGAAACTAACAAGTTTTTGAATAAATTTCGGAAGAACGCTTTTTTAAAATGGTTACGCTGACAAAAAACCTCTTCCGGAGGAAAGGGTGATTGTTTTCTTCGTTTAATTTGACTTTAGAATGAAAGGCGAGAGGTCATTAAAATAAAAAAAACCCAACTAAAACTCCACACTGAACGAACCCGAACTGCTGATGAACAGCAG